TATGCGGTACACAGAGAATATTATGCCAAACGCATTCTCAGACACTCTACGCGCTCTACTCAACCGATAGTTAAACACTCTTTCCTTGGAATTCTTGTTTTGAACACCTGGGAATGGTTTCATAATGTTTTTTGACAAAGGAAAAGCATCATCGGCCACAAAAACATACGGTGTTTCATCTATTCTTCCAGGAAGAGCAGTAGGAGGAGGAAGATGTATTGTGTTGTTCTGAAGGCAATCTTTGAATGTTGTGTGACTAAACACACCTCCGTCTGATATTTTTCCTTGACAGCAAACATTTGCGTAGGTAAAGTTGTAGTGCGCATCTACCACCGCAAATAGAATTATACTGAAAAACCCCTTGTAGTTGAAATATTCTGTGCCACTATGGATAATTGCTTGCAACGTAATATGCTTCCCATCAAAGGTCCCCACACAGTTTGGGAAATTCCACTTATCATTGAATTCTTTTGAAATAGCATTCCACTCTGCTTCATTTTGTGGCATCTGAAACAAAATTATAACGATATAGCACTATTCAATCATTAATCTTTCCCTTTTTTTAGGACAAGCATTCAAATGAAGATGCTGCAGACGAAATCCAGATTGTCGACCAGGACCAAGTTGCTGGACCAAGTAAAGACACGCCTCGAAGAGGTGACAATGCAAATGAAAGTTTGCCAAAGTAAACGTCTGTTCGGCCAGGTGGAGGCCCACAAAGGAAACAAAAGACATCAGCTAGCGAAGGAGCTCTGTCAATTATGAGAGGTATCCAAGGACATCAGGTATGGATCAGTTCAAGTCTTTTGGAGAGCTAGTAGGACTGCGTATTGAAGACCTCCCATCGTCAACTGCTCAGAAAATTGTGAAACAACTTATTATCACTATCTGTTTGAAGCTGAAATGGGCAAGTACGACTATGGCAACTCATTGAGCGGAAGTTACTCACAGCCTTTCTACCAAATACCGAACTACGTACAACAACCGACTCCTGCACTGATGCCACCAGCTTGTCCCAATCCAAACCCATATTTTGAGCAGTCGTCTTTTCAGGGACACATACAAGCAACCTGTCCGCAGTCAGCCATGAGTCCCACGTCTTCAACCCATACGGTAACGGACAATGACTCTCTTGACACTTGTTGATGCAACTGTAGTTCCCACCTCATCTTTTTAAAATTCAAATTTGCGTTGTAATATTTGTATTTGTAATAGACTATGTTTTTTTACCTTGATGTAATCCTGTAAAACGCTGACAATTGCCTCACAAGCAATAGGGATGATGGCTGATATTATTTGCTTTGAAATCTTGAATGTGTAACTTAACGAGTGGTAAGAGTCTCCCGCTGCTAAAAACCGCAGAGTAACTGCAAGGCGTTCATGTGGAGGAATAGCACTTCTGAAGGGTGTGTAATGTTTCTGGATGATATGAGCTATCTTATTTAGAAGACCTTCAAAGTCACTACTTGTCATTCGAAAAAAGTTTTTGAAGCCACATCCAGATCTGTACTCGAGATTTAATTCGTCTACATCATCCAATAACAAATCCTTCATTAACTCACTAGTTCCGTATTTTCTTTTACTTTGAAGGCTTGGACGCACCCAAAACCGTCGTTTGCGCCGTTTACACACTTTTTTGCTGTTTTCAATGATAATTATAAACGCACCTAAAGCAACTAGTACATCCTCCTCGGCAGACATTTTGCGACTGAATGCCAACTCAGGTGTAGACGGCAAACCAAAATCGGCTTTGCCGCGTTGGCTTTGCCAAAACAGCCAACCGCGGCACAGTGAGGACGGCCCTTTATCCAACATGCAATTCGGATTCAGAGAGGGAAAATCCACTCAAGATGCTATTACTTTATTAACAAGTGAAATCTATGAAAACGTCTGCAAACAAAATCCCACGTTGTGTGTGTTTTTGGATCTTTTGAAAATAAGTAACTCTATACATGGATGTGTAGATCATGCAAAGAAGTAACTTTCAGACACAAACTGGAAAAAAGTCCTCCTGAAACAGCTACTTTCATATAAACATTGAATACACGAAAGAAAAAAATTCTTTCGAAACAAATACTTTCATATGAACACTGAATTATACATAAGATAAGTTAAACGGTCGAAACGTCGAGAAATACATATGTTGTAATATGTCAATGAATTTTTAATTACAATGACTACCATAATGTATAAAAAAATATACAAGTCCGTATTGAAAAAACATATTGATGATGGATTTCAATGAACGAAACGTTGTACTGGAAAATAGGTTGAACTAGATTATGAAAAACATGAAATTGAATGAAAGATTGTCATATAATTTTTTGATATTATTGAAAATGGAAGCCGTAGAGGAAAAAATAAGATTGTCATTTTTAGTTTTTTGCAAATATCTCAAAAACGGTTGTTGATTTTGTCGATCTAAGAATACCATTATCTTACATCCAAAGTAAACTTTTGTTCCATTCAACCGTTCTTAAAGGAAATACCTTTTCCAAGATAGCCATAGTGGTATCTTCTAAAAAAAGGCGACCGGTATATGCTTCAAGTTCAGGTGAATACACATTACCTCTTGCCTATCATGTAGACCTACGACTTTGTAGGTACGTGTGGAAGATACTCGACGGAAAAACAACAACTTACCCAGCTAATGCCGCGCCGAAAGCTGAAGTAAAACCATCAGGCACCTGTACAACGCCTTTGATTTGGAAGATTCGTCGCAAGAAATTTTCCACTTTGAAAAGCAGAAATGAATTTCATTTGGTCGATACAATCAACTGATAGACCGGTTTCGGGGTACTTGCCCCATCATCACTACCGGGCATGGTCTCTTCAGAACGAAGTGAAGTTGATTCAGTGAAATGTCCACCGCGCCACCTGCAAACAAAGTCAGGAAACAACTCCACAAACACATACTCCTGAGTGGAAATAAGTCAAATGTTTTCAATGTCGCGTAGAAAATTTTTGATACTAGGTGATTTTCTCAATTTAAGCCAAATTTATACATTTCTACTTGAATACGAGAAAGATAAGAGAAAATCACTTAGTATTCAGAATGTTCCCACAGTATAGTGCCCTTTAGATAAGTGTACTTATTCTTTTAAATATTCATTCATATATATACACCCTGTACATTAACCATTTCCACTTATAACTAGGTCAACCATGTTTTGCTAATATTACAAATATATCTATGAATGATTTGTAAACTATATCGTCATTCGACGAGTTGTTAATTGAAAATCTGAATTAGAACAAAAAAAACAATAAAGTGAACACTCCATCAGTCTTTAATTTCAACCATTTCATTATGAAAGAACCTTTACATGGAGATCCTGCCGATTTAAAAAAAAAATGAAATGGGTACCACCAACTCAAAACAAAGTGAAGTTGCGAGCAGTGGTGTAGTTAACTCCAATTTCATTGTAGAAGAAGACATGTTGAAAATTCCGAACGATATAAGGGTGCTTATATACATTATTACGTTCCTTCTGCTAGTCTTAGTAGGACTACACCTTTGAAAGAGTTATCGGAGAGGGTTGAAACGCAACATATCCCGAAGTATGGTTCTAAAGGTCGCAGGCTAATGTCGCTAACGCTTAACAAAGTCTAAACGTCAAATGGATGATAGACTAGCCCTTTGACTCACGGTGTCTACAATTGTAGACACTAACTTTCCAGTTTCCGTGATACCCACAATTCGCTTCGTTTCGCATTTGTACAACCCTAAATACATTTGTTGACCTCTCTGCACAGGTGTTAGCCAGTTAGCAGTGATATCTGAAAGTTCAGATATTCCACGAGACAATGTCTATAAATAGATTTTATAAACTTAGAACCAATCTGCATTGCGTCAACAATTTGGATGACCAAAAT